TTTTTTATCATAATATTTTATATTTTTAAAATTAACCAGTTGTGTGACTCAAATTTGTTTTTTTTTAATTGTCCTCTGCATACATACGATACAATTCTTATGTATTTACATATCTAATAGCCAAATTTTAATATTTAAATACATGACACTCATTTTTTTAAGATCACATAAAACATAACACCATCTTAAATGCACTTTTTTATGGATATGTTTATGACATTAACTTCGGATGGAATAATCTTACACCAATATAAATTCCCCCCAGACCAAAGTAACAGCATAGCATCAAAACATCAGGGCAAAGGAAAATATTTAACAAGGATGGGATATATGGATGGTGCTGACACACAGATTCCTGCGCTGCCAAAAGTAGATTTGAGCGGATTAGACATGAAAGGTTTTGACGAAAAGATTTGGACGACAGCTCGATTAAAGATTGCAGAAGCTCTAGAAACTTATGGCGGCTTTGAAGTTATTTACAGTGAGGTTAGTTCTGAGCTACGAAATAAGCTGCTTGGATTGGTGGTGCCGGAGATGTTCAACAGGCCGGCTGTGAACAAACTTACTGACGCCCAAAAGCTGCCTTATCATGGCGCATGGTTCTCCAAGTTAGGGTTTCCTTTCTCAGCTCTTCAGTTGACCGATCCCAATTCTAAAGTTAATGTCCAAGAATATGCTGATATTATTTGGCCCAAAGGAAATGACTTTTTCAGGTATGAACTTCTCATATACCAATTTTTTTATCATAATATTTTATATTTTTAAAATTAAGCTGTTATGTGACTCAAAATTGTTTTTTTATTGTTATTGTCCTCTACATACAATCCATACAATTCTTATGTATTTGCATATATAACACCCAAATTTTAATATTTACATACATGACACTCATTTCTTTAATATCACGTAAAAAATAACATAAAAACGCCCTTTTATGGATACAATACATAAGAATTGTGTGATATGTATGTAAATCTTACTTTATTATTTTCTTTTATAGTAACACAGTGTTGAACTATGCAAAGCATATGCATGAGCTCATAAATATGATCCATCGGATGATCCTTGAGGGCTTGGGCTTGGAGGATCACTATGATTCACATATGAAATCATTGGCATACTCGATAAGATTTTCAAATTATTATAAGAACGAGTTCGATAATGGAACCAATCTTGCTTTGCCTTCCCACAAAGATCCAAACTTTGTAAGCATAATTTGCCCGCACGGTGTGGAAGGACTTGAAGTAGAGGCTGCTGGTGCTACAGGTGGTGAATGGATACGAACAACGAACATGACAAATTCATTCATTGTTCTAGTGGGCGAAGCATTTAAGGTTAGTATTTCTAATGCATAATTGTTATTTATTGTGAACAAATTTATAATTTTTGTTTTTACTCAGGCATGGAGTAATGGAAGGCTTCATGCTCCAAATCATCGAGTAAAACTAAAAAATGAGACCGAAAGACGATATGCAGTGATTTTTAGCACATTACCGAGCATCACAAATGATACAGTAAATGCTCCGGAAGAATTGATTGACGAACAACATCCTTTGCTTTTCAAGGCTTTTAAGTATTATGATTATGTGAAGTTTCGTTTTTCAGAGGAAGGAGAGAAAGCTGATGATGCCCTAAAAGCTTACTGTGGTGCTTAGTTAATAAGTATTCAGTATATGTGCTATGTGCTACTTACTTTCTTGATCTTTTTTTGTTTTTACCTTTTTTGCGTGAATTTGTAAGTTTGATGGAGTGATCTTTGTCTTCAAAATCCTTCTCTGACAATAGAAGATTTGAATAATCCAGGGGTAAGCAGGATTTTGCCGAGGTAATGGATTTGCAGTATGTAATTTCCGCTGTTTTAAATCTAATGCGTGCTTGAATCTTAAATTCTTATATAAAAAGTCAAAAAAGTGTTCCAAAAATTAATATTAAGAAAATTTTTCAAATCAATTTTCTTATGTATTTATCAACTCCTGCTTGAGTTGGACATTCTACTTGAAGTTCATTCAAGCAGCTCTATAAGTTTAGCGGAATATTACAAACAACCTTCTAAATTCTATTATATGTTTCATCCCTTCTTGGTAAACAAAAAAACTGAATAAATAATAGAAACAATTTAGAGGTATTGGGGTCTATCATTTCAGCTATTTAGAGATTATTTTCTTTTTTTTCTTTTTTTTGTGTATGATGACATTAAGAGCAATTTTTTCCTGAATTATGTTATTTAATACTCTATTCTTTTTCTTATTTTATCTATTTTTTCTCTGTTAACATTATCATTGTTGTGTCCAAGCCCCAAGTGTGAAAAACAGAGGGCCGCGTTAGGTAGTCCACAATCAGCATAAAATATGTCCAAAATCCTGACAATAATCAATTTGATCGATTAATAGTTCTAGATTTTAAGATGAAGAGTTGAAAAAAAAGAATACCAGTAATCATTATCATAGAATTATATGGGGGCACCTAAAATACACAAATAAAATTATTTTTATGAGTAAACTTCAAGATTTCAATATTTGTGATGTTTATGAAGAAGCAAATTTTATGTGAGAAAAAAGTAACAAATACTATTAAATAAGTGGAAAAATATGTATTTGGAGAATCAAAAGGAAAAGTTATAAAAATTGGTCTAAATTTAAAAGATTAGAGAAGTGTGAAAAATATAAAATGACTCGTAGGAAGTCTAAGAGAACAATTTATGATGCTAAAATTTATTTTTAATAATCTTTATAATAGATTAGATGCTAAAGATAGTGAAAAATAGAAGAAAGTCAAAACGTGATTTTCTTAAAAAAAGATATTCAACATAGGTAAGTGAGTTATTTAAATAAACTTTTCAATGAAGTTTCTGAAAGTACCATTGACCTTAGTGATCTTATTATCGTTAATAATAAAAAAATATTTCATTTTTACCATCACATTAGAAAAATAAAAATAAAAAGTAGGCTTTAAGGAAAATCAAGGGTGGAATGCCTGTAGGACCTCATGATATCCCAATTGAAGTGTGAAAATATTTAGGAGATTTGAGAGTTTCGTGGCTTACTAAACTATTTAATATTATTTTAAAAACTAAAAAGATGTCCGACGAGTAGAGAAAGAGTATTTTGGTTCTCATTTTTAAGAATAAAAGGAATGCACAAGCATGTGCAAATATAGAGAAATTAAGTTGATGTGTAATACTTTAAAATTATGGGTGAGGGTAATTGAACATAAGTTAAGATTTATTACAAAGATTTATCACAATCGGTTTGGATATATATCAGATGGGTGTACTATGGAAGCTATACTTATTGAGAGGTTGATGGATAAGTACAGAGAAAATAAGGAGGATCAACATATAATTTTTATTGATTTAGAAAAACCTTACAATAAGGTTCCAAGAGATATCGTTTGGAGAGTTCTAGAGAAGAACAATATTGATATGACTTATATTCAAGTCATTATAGATAAGTAGACTAGAGCTGTTACTTATGTTCGAACAAAAGGAGAATCAACCAAATATTTTTTTTTTATTTCAATTGAATTACATCAGGGATCAACTTTAAGCCCATATCTTCTGGTTTAGTTATGGATACTCATATTAGACATTTATAGGACGATGTACCTTGGTGTATGCTTTTAACTAATGATATCCTTCTTGTGGATAAGACAAAAGAAAAAGCTTGAATTATGGAGGCCTACATCAGAGTCTAAAGGCCTTTGTTTGAGTAGAACTAAAACTAAAAACATAGAATCTAATTTTAGCAGTAGTAGCTCTAGTGACAAAGTTATAACTATGGGTGATCAAATTATTAAAAGGTGTGAACACTTTATATATCTCAGATCTATCATTCAAAATGATAGTGATATAGATGGGGATGTTATTAGCAGAATTCAAGTTGGTTGGTTGGAGTGGAGGAATGCTTCAGGTCTATTGTGTGATTGAAAAATACCACTTAGACAGGAAGAAAAAAATTATAAGATAGTGGTGAGACCTGCAATACTCTATTTGTTGAATGTTGGCCTTTAATAAAGAAGCATAAAACTAAGTTAAGTGTAGCCGAGATGAGAATGCTTAGGTGGAGGAGTGACTTTACACTTAGAGACAAAATGTGAAATGAATACATCCGTGATAGGGTTGGTGTAGCTCCAGTGGCGGCCTAAATTAGAGAGAGTCGTCTTAGATGATGGTCACATTAAACATCGACTTCATATTAAACGCCAACTATCTGACGATCCGGTTAGGAGAGTAGATGTTTTAGCTTTGACTGATGTTAAGAAAAACAGAGGTAGACCTAGAAAGACTTGGACATAATGTATAAAAATTGATCTTAATTTATTAGAATTAAATGAAAATATGACACTCAATAAGATGCAATGGAGAAAAAAGATTCATGTAACCGACCACACTTAGTGGGATAAAAGTTTGTTGTTGTTGTATTTGTTTCTTGTCATTGATATTTCTTTCTCTTTATTTTATGTCATTTGACATCCATCAAAAGTATCCTAATAATTTTGAGTATTTTTTTAAGAAAATTATAGCAACTAGTCTCTGTCATCATCATCATTGGCTAAAGCCATTATTTGCAGCCCTTGTGCCAACAATTTTTGCCACCAATGCATAAATTAAATAATTTGATATTTAATAAAAATAAAAAGTAAGTATTTTTATGTAAAAATTTGATTTATTTCATGGAAAAAGCATAAATAGAATTAAAAAAAAAAGAAAAAAAAAAAGCAATCTCAAATGGCTTCTATTTGATGAATGAGTTGCCAAAGAACAAAATGGTCATGCATTTGAGATTTTAAAATCCCAAATCCAATTTTTAAAGATTTTCAACTCCAATTTTAATATTTTTTATTCAAAGTCTTAGCATTCGACAGTAGCCATAATTTGTACTCAATTTTTTATTCAAATATTTTATTCGCGGACAACACCTTAAAAACAAAAATTTTCAAACATATCAACTGCTTTCGAAACACCAAACTTTAAATTGCATATTTTCCACAACAATTTTTGAACAGAGATTTCATACAACTACAGCCGAAACAAACACACCCTAAGTATTTAGCTTCCTCAATAGTTACTACAATGAGCTCAAATTTATCATTCATTAAACATAAATTTTTTTCAATCATTCTAGCATCTTCTAAATTTCCTTCATACCTTTTTAGTCAAAGACAGAGCCGAAGCCTTATTCTTAAATTTATTCTACCATGTAATAATCACAACTTGTCATCCAAAGAGTGCTATTTTTGTTATCCAACCCATTAAAATACCTCTATTTTGACATTCCTCCCAACTTTCATTCATATCTACTCCATTTTAATGCTTACCACAGACACTGTTAACCTCTTTACAATAAAAATAATATTTTTTTAATAATTTTATGTTCGTATTAAACGATGTTAACCAGCCAAAAAAATTAATTAAGACAGAACAATTGTAAAAAAATTGTTATAATATGACAAAAATATTATACAGAGTCATAACTGCATCATTTAGATGGAATAATCTTACACCAATAGAAATTCCCTCCGAACTAAAGTAACAGCTTAACATCAAAACATCAAGGCAAAGGAAAATAATTAACAAGAATGGGATATATGGTTGGTGCTGATACAGAGATTCCTGAGCTGCCAAAAGTGGATTTGAGCGGATTATACATGAAAGGTTCTGATGAAAAGATTTGGACGGCAGCTCGATCAAAGATTGCAGAAGCTCTAGAAACTTATGGTGGCTTTGAAGTTATTTACAGTGAGGTTAGTTCTGAGCTACGAAATAAGCTACTGGGATTGGTGGTGCCAGGGATGTTCAACATGCCAGCTGTGAACAAACTTAGTGAAGCCCAAGAGCTGCCTTATCATGGCTTCTGGTTCTCGAAGTTAGGGTTTCCTTTCTTAGCTATTCAGTTGATCAATCCCAATTCTAGAGTTGATGTCCAAGAATATGCTGAAATTATTTGGCCCAAAGGAAATGACTTTTTCAGGTTTGAACTTCTCATATAACAAATTTTTTTTTATCATAGTATTTAATATTTTTAAAATTAAGCAGTTATGTGACTCAAATTTGTTTTTTTATTGTAAAATTCTTATGTATTTACATATCTAACAACCAAATTTTAATGTCTACAAACATGACACTCATTTTTTAATATCACATCAAAAATAACACTATCTTGAATCCACCTTTTTATGGATACGTTTATTACATTAAAGCATTATAAATGTAAATATGAAAGTTTGGGTGTCAGATATATAAATACATAAGAATTGTGTGATATGTATGTAAATCTTACTTTATTATTTTCTTTTATAGTAACACAGTGTTGAACTATGCAAAGCATATGCATGAGCTCATAAATATGATCCATCGGATGATCCTTGAGAACTTGGGCTTGGAGGATCACTATGATTCACATATGAAATCATTGGCATACTCGATAAGATTTTCAAATTATTATAAGAACGAGTTCGATAATGGAACCAATCTTGCTTTGCCTTCCCACAAAGATCCAAACTTTGTAAGCATAATTTGCCCGCACGGTGTGGAAGGACTTGAAGTAGAGGCTGCTGGTGCTACAGGTGGTGAATGGATACGAACAAATACCATGACAAATTTATTCATTGTTTTAGTGGGCGAAGCATTTAAGGTTACTATATTTAATGCATCATAATTATTTTTTAATTGTGA